CGCGGAGGATAGGTGTTACGTGGGTGAACCGAGGTGCACCCACGATCGCTCGCGCGGCTCAAGAGTCTTCCTTGAAAGTGAAGTCCAGGTTTCCCAGACAGGTGCCAGGTGAAACATTCATTGTTTCATGTCTGGAACGGTTCCTTCTTTATAGTTTGGATGGGGTTAATCTTACAGCTCTCCAAGAAAGCAAACCAACAGACCGGAAGAGGAGCTTCTTAAAGCCCAGGAGACCTTGAGGTTCTCCTCTCAGCTATGCCCCCCGTCTTCTTCCATGGGGTTTAGGTCACTCATTGGAAACTCCTGGAGTAGAAAACGCAGCAACACTTGTATTCTGAGTTAAGCACCAGCTGTCAATGGAGCCATTGGTTTTAGTAACCCATGATTAATGTCTTAGGATGGGTCTTGAACTCAACCAACTTTGGGTTTAGTCAAGAAACAGGTATTACTTTCCTTTCTTGGAGCCGTCTATTTTAAGAGCTGGCTGCTATAAATAGGTGAAATCCTGATTTCCAAGGCTGAGCTCAGAACGGCTTTCTCTTTTACACCACCCTTAACTATAAATTGTTCGACAGGATTGCGGATTGTGTAAGCGTGTAACCCTGGAGCTGATGTTCCCACACCCATCGGTTTAGCCCAACACGTTCCAAGTCCGGGGTGAGGGAAGAGCAGGGTCCGCTGTAGCCGAGCAAAGTATGCGCTGTTTGTTTGGGGAGAAACACCGTGCTTAAAAAAATATTTAAAAATAGAACCGCTATCGTTTTGCAATAACCTTGAGCATTTCAAGAGAATTCCTTGTGGTTTCCATAAACCACACGCTGTTCCCCCCCAGGCCCTGACGGAGAGGGAGGCTGTTTGTTGCTAGACAATATTCAACGATAACCCCTTCTGGGCAGCAAATAAATAAGGAGGTTGTAAATCCTGATTAGATCAGGATTAGGTCAGAGAGCTTTTGCATAGTCATGCAAACTTGTTCTTCCAATTACCTGGAAACTGTTTGCGAAGAGGACCATAAACCAGCAATGGCTGGTATTTATTTCGCCGCTATGGTATACCGTAAACAGAGCAGGCATCTGTGCCAGCTACTTCCCTCAACCGGAGCCCACTCCGGTGGCACTAAAGCCCAATCGCTGGCACTCTGGGCAAGTCCTTGCCCCTCCCGGTGGGTCTTCCTTCTGCAGGGAGCTGATGCCATCTCAGCCAAGGACAAGGAGAACTGTCCTGGCCATGGTTTGTACCCACAACAAACACGGGTGGGGGGGCAATGGCTCTTTTAAGGGCAGCGGTTGGCTAACCCCCCTCCTGGGTGGGCTTTCCCCTCCTCCGCCTCTCCTTTATCACCAGAAAAAGATTGCGACAGAAATGACTTATGCAAAATAACACAAACAGGAAACGTGGGGTTTCTTTTTGTTCTCCTATAAGCCAGCAAAGGTCTCTTTAGCAACCTCTCTCCCAGGCGGGCTTTGGTGGGGATCCTCTCGCATTGCCTTCAGGTTCCTTGGCAGGGGAGAGGCAGGCTCAGTGGGCGGAGAAGGAGAGCTTGGACACGGTAAGAGAGAGAGAGAGAGACGATCTTGGGGGAGTGCTCCGAGGCTCAGGACTGGCTTCCTTGCGTGGTGGTTGTGTGTGTCGTAATTCTCTTCTTCTTTTTTACAAATATTTATTTTATTTCGTAATTCTCTTCTTCTTCAAGGTAGCCTTTCCGCCCTGTTTCCCTTGTTTTATTTCTCCTTGCAGCGTCTCGTAGGAAAGATTAGTTTCTTAACCCTCTTTTTTTAAAAAACGTAACTCCTGGGCTTTTGCCCTTTTTGGGAACAAATGGATGCTTCATTGAGTGCTCCCAGTAGGAAAAGGGATGGAAGGGTAGAGTAGTGAATTAGGGAAGTAGCAAATTTCCTGGTGATGATGATTTGCTAAAATTGTCTGGCCGTCAAGTGACTCTTGAGTTGGTTTGATTGAGTAGCGCCTGGGCTGTTGTTATCCACTGGGGAGGGGCCTTACATTGAGTAGGGATCTGGACTCGGTCCCCTAAATCGGGGATCTCCAAAGTTGACCATTTTTAAGACTTGTGGATTTCAACTCTCAGAATTGATCCCCCATGCTGGCTGTGGAAGTCTTAAAGTTGGCGAGTCCGGAGGCCCCTTGAAAAAAATGAACACTTTAGGTGCACGATTCCCTTGTTCTCTTTTTACCTGTCCGTGAACGTCTCCCGAGGAAGGTGATTTTGACCAAGCCTTGACTTAACCAAGATCTGCTCCTGCAGCTGTTCTCCGGAGGCGCTGTCCTGTTGAGCGACCACCATGTCGATGTACCTGAAACACTTCACGGTGGTGGGAGACGACACTGCCCAGTGGAACAACGACTACAAGAAATGGAAGGAGGAAGAGACCGAAGAGGAAGGAGAAGGGAAGCCGCCGGAGGTCGCGGTTAAGGTCGAATCGGCGCCCAGGCGCCCAACCTTCCGAGAGGTTATGAAAAGGCTCTTCGAATCCCACAAGTTCCAGGTATGGATGCGGGAAGCTTCAGGCACCTGCCGCCCTGGGCTCTCTTATCCGAGTTCAGGGTCCCCCAAGCACAGGACGATATGGATAATCTTGGGTGCCGCCTTGTCGCTTGGTCGATACATATGCTGGGTTCCTCCATTTGGTCTTAATCATGGGTTGTTGGTCCATCTTCACTTGCTCGGAATTGCACTGTCAGTCACTGACCGTATATGTCCAAATCCCAGGTATGGTTTGTGCCACATCTTTGGCCAAAACCAAAGAAATGACTTCCTGCTATAACTAGCATTGTGAACTTAGCCAGTCCTGGTTTATTTAGCAAACCGCAGGAGTAAACCATGGCATTCCGTGGTTCTGCGCACGTTTTCTAGCGAGTTAATCATCGTGGGGGTGCTTTCTGAGTTTGGTGGATTTCTTGTAGTTGTTTCGTTACCAAACTAGGTAACATCATCAAAAGAGCCGAGGTGGCACAGTGGTTAGAGTGCTGTACTTCAGCCACTTCAGCTGACTATTATCTGCAGTTCGGCGGTTCAAATCTCACCGGCTCAGGGTTGACTCAGCCTTCCATCCTTCCGAGGTGGGTGAA